TATGCAGTGACCACCCACTTGGCTTGCCAGGCATTGCACGCCGCCTGGCTGTCCGTCCGTCCGTCTGTCTGTCTGTCTTCCCGGCTCTCTGAACCGCGGCGCTTTGAGCTTCTTAGCTCGGGGACGCGTCGGCCACCGCCGCCCTCTCCCTTGTCGGTGGCCCTGACGGGGTTGGGGGAGAAGGGTGCCGAAACGCGCCCAGAGTCCAGCAAGGCATGAGGGTGCGACCCCGACTTGTCTGGCTGATGCTCTGGGGGGCTTGTGCTCAGGGGAGGCTGCAGCACCGCTCAACGATGTGCTGTTTAACCGAACCTGCAGGGTGGGCCCTTTCCCAAATCCGTGCTTCGGTGCGGATCGTAAGCGCGCCTCGTCTCCGTCGTCGTCGTCGGCGTCGTCGTGGTCGTGGTGCGTGTTGCTCTGCTCGGGATTCTGTTTCCCTTATGCAGTGACCACCCACTTGGCTTGCCAGGCATTGCGCGCCGCCTGGCTGTCCGTCCGTCCGTCTGTCTGTCTGTCTTCCCGGCTCTCTGAGCCGCGGCGCTTTGAGCTTCTTAGCTCGGGGACGCGTCGGCCACCGCCGCCCTCTCCCTTGTCGGTGGCCCTGACGAGGTTGGGGGAGAGGGTGCCGAAACGCGCCCAGAGTCCAGCAAGGCATGAGGGTGCAAACCCGACTTGTCTGGCTGATGCTCTGGGGGGGCCTGTGCTCAGGGGAGGCTGCAGCACCGCTCAACGATGTGCTGTTTAACCGAACCTGCAGGGTGGGCCCTTTCCCAAATCCGTGCTTCGGTGCGGATCGTAAGCGCGCCTCGTCTCCGTCGTCGTCGTCGTCGGCGTCGTCGTGGTCGTGGTGCGTGTTGCTCTGCTCGGGATTCTGTTTCCCTTATGCAGTGACCACCCACTTGGCTTGCCAGGCATTGCACGCCGCCTGGCTGTCCGTCCGTCCGTCTGTCTGTCTGTCTTCCCGGCTCTCTGAGCCGCGGCGCTTTGAGCTTCTTAGCTCGGGGACGCGTCGGCCACCGCCGCCCTCTCCCTTGTCGGTGGCCCTGACGAGGTTGGGGGAGAGGGTGCCGAAACGCGCCCAGAGTCCAGCAAGGCATGAGGGTGCAAACCCGACTTGTCTGGCTGATGCTCTGGGGGGGCCTGTGCTCAGGGGAGGCTGCAGCACCGCTCAACGATGTGGTGTTTAACCGAACCTGCAGGGTGGGCCCTTTCCCAAATCCGTGCTCCGGTGCGGATCGTAAGCGCGCCTCGTCTCCGTCGTCGTCGTCGTCGGCGTCGTCGTGGTCGTGGTGCGTGTTGCTCTGCTCGGGATTATGTTTCCCTTATGCAGTGACCACCACCACCATCATCATCGTCGTCGTCGTCATCGTCGTCATGGTCACCGTCATCGATATCAACACCATCATCACCACCACCATTATCATCATCATCAGCAGCAGCCTGATCACGTCACATTCATCATAATCGTCAGCATCATCACCACCACCATCATCACCATCATCATCACCACTGTCATCATCATCTTCACAATTATCACCATCACCATCACCATCACCATCATCATCATAAGCACCAGCAGCATCATCATCAGCATCAGCATCATGATCATGATCATCATCATCATCAGCATAGTCACCATCAGCATCATCATCAACATCATCATCACTGGCATCATCATGATCAGCATCATCATCACCACCGACATCATCGTCATCATCAGCAGCAGCATCATCATCAGCACCAGCATCAGCATGGTCATCATCAGCATTGTCGTCATCATCATCAGCATCACCAGTAGCAGAAGCAGCAGCAGCATCATCATCAACATCATCGTCAAAATCATCATCATAACCAGCATCACCATCATCGGCATCAACATCATCATCACCAGCATCATCAGTATCATCATTATCATCAGCATCACCATGATCAGCATCACCATTACCATCATTACAACCATCATCACCATTATAACCCTCATCGTTATCATCACCGTCCTGCTCCCCCCTGAGACGCCACGAGGAATCGACGCATCTCTCTGCTCGGTGAGAATGATGGCCCTAGTCACGATGCTGCCCCGCCTCCACTCACCCAACTCTGCACCCACAAGCAACGTCAACACCTTTTAGCCACACACACACACAAACACACACACCTCCCCCTCCCTGTCCACCACCCATCTGCACCTCCTCCTCGTCATCATCGTGCGCCTCCCCCTCCTCTTCCACGTCCCCTTCCTCCTCTCGCTCCTAGACGGCCCTTATCCACCTCCTAATTACACCTCCCCTCCGTCGTCCGTCAGTGAGTTTCTCCTTCTCTCTCTCTCTCTCTCTCTCTCTCGCTCTGTCCCTCTCTGACTGGCCACAGGAGTCATCCTAGTACGTATAATGACGTGCATACTGCTCTGCCCCGGACTCGGCGGACGCGCGAGTCGATCGTAGCAAGCGCTGGGCCACAATGAAACGAACTGCGCACAGGGGAGTCTGACGAGCGGGAAGAG